TGAGGCTAGTGTCAAATTTCCTATCACCTCAGCTTCCAGTATCTGGGGTTATGTGCAAGTTGCCTCCATACATAGTAACAAATGGTTTCTTTCTTTCTTTTTTTTTAAGAGAGAGAGAGAGAACTTTTGTATTTTTCTTTTTAGTTTTTGGCGGACACAACATCTTTGTTTATATGTGGTGCTGAGGATCAAACCCGGGCCGCACGCATATGAACCCGGGTCGCACGCATACCAGGCGGGCGCGCTACCGCTTGAGCCACATCCCCAGCCCGCAAGTGGTTTCTTATCCCAGTTCCACTACCTTTAGCTATGTGACTTTGGACAGTTTACTTCTCTAGTCCTGATTAGCTTTATCAGTACAATAATAGAAATATTCCAGCCTGTTGTTAACATCCTGTTTTATAACCTAGTACCTAGGTTAGATACTTGATGTGTAGCATACTCTTAAGTAATAAGCTGTAATTTTAATTTAGGTTTTGGAGGCTAAATATGGACAAGAGAACTTTTGTCTTTTATTTTGTTTAGAAAACACATATTAAGATTTGTTAGAGGGCTGGGGATGTGGCTCAAGCGGTACCGCGCTCGCTTGGCATGCATGCGGCCCGGGTTCCATCCTCAGCACCTTTGAAGTTTTTGCTCTAAGAGTGCTCAGGGCCACTACTGAGAAACAAGCCTCTGAAGGGTAGTTCTACCAAAGGGAGCTTTCCTCAGGAAGCCTTCAACAACACAAAAAGCTTAATTCTTTTTGAAATTTTCCAGTTTTCTTAATTTAACCCCATTCTGCACAAATGTGTTATAGACAACTACAGGCCTGCATAGGACAGCACTATCAGGAAAACTTTTTTTGGTGAGTACTAGAAATTGACCTCAGGAGTGCTCTACCAGTGAGCTACAATTCCAGTTCTTTTTTATTTTGAGACAGGGTCTCACTTAGTTGCTAAGAGTTTTAAATTACTAAGGCTGGCTCCAAACTTGAAATCCTTCTGCCTCCACCTCCTGAGTCACATGTACCACCATGCCCAGGTTATTTTAATTTTGAGACAAGGTCTTGAATTTGCTGTTCTGTTGCCTCAGCCTTTGGAATTGCTGGGATTACAGGAATGCACCATTGCACCTGGTTCCTTATCATAAAAGTTGAATTTTTGGATCAAAGAGCATGTACATTTTATAATTTGACAGATAGGTTAAGTAAGTTATTTTATATGTACACAATGACGTGCGGCCCATAAAAAGAACAAGTTGCTGGGTATGGTGGCACACGCCTGTAATCCCAGCGGATCGGGAGGCTGAGGCAGGAGGATTGTGAGTTCAAAGCCAGTCTCAGCAACAGTGAAGCGCTGTATCTAAAAAAAAAAAAAAGGTTGTGGCTCAGTGGTAGATCGTTCATCTGGCATGCATGAGACACTGGGTTTGATCCTCAGCACATATAAAAATAAATAAAGGTATTGTGTCCACCTACAACTAAAATACATATATATGTAACAGCTTAAGATTTTAAGTATTGATATTAAGAACTAATATGTTTGCAGCATATTAAATAGAAAAAGGATTTGCTTATCAGTAGAAAATCCCATTAATGTTTATGTAGAGACAGTAGTATTTCAAAGAGGAAAGTCTGGAAGAATATATGAGGAACTAATTGTGCTTAATTCAAATCTGAATATTATTTTTTAAATTATACAAGTAAAGCACAAATAAATTCATCTTGTAAAATTAATGCAGAAACAAAAACACAGGGGTGAGATGTGATGGTGCATGTCTGTAATTCCATATTTGAGAGGCTGAAGCAGGAGGATTGCAAATTCAAAGCAAGCCTGGGCAGCTCAGTGAGACCCTGTCTCAAAAACTTTCAAAAGAAGGCAGGTGAATCTGGGGATGGTAAAGTATCTCTGTGTTCCATCCCCAGTACCCAAAAGAGGGGGGGAAAAAAGGAACGAAAACATATATTCAAATATGCATAATAGCTTTATTCATAATAGCCCCAAACTTTAACATCCCAAAGTCCATTAACTTGCAAGTGCATAAAAAATGAATTATTACTTAGCAATTAAAAATAATAACTGAGGGGTTAGGGGTGTGACTCAGTGGTAGAGTACCTGCCGTGCCCATGTGAGGCACTGGGTTCGATCCTCAGCACCACATAAAAATAAATAAAGATATTGTGTCCATCTACAACTAAAAAAAAGTTTAAAAAAATAAAAAATAATAACTGAGGACTGGGGATATAGCTCTGTGGAAGGACACTTGGCTAGTATGTCAGAGCTCTGGGTTCATTCCCCAGTACCACAAAAATACCCCCAAAACTAGTGATACATGCAATTACATAATGAATCTCAAAATCATGCTAGCAGAAAGCAGATAGACATAAAAAAAGAAAACTATATATAATTCCATTATGAAATCTTGGAAAAGAAAAAATTATGATGACAACAATGACCTGCTGCTGGACTGGTGGTGAAAAGAGGGTGACTATGAGGAAACTTTTTGGGGTAAAAGAAATGTAAAGATGGTAACCACACTACTGAACACATTTATTAAAATTAATCAAATTGGGGGCTGAGGCTGTAGGTCAGTGGCAGAGCACTTGCGTAGCATGTGTGAGGCATTGGGTTTGATCCTTAGCACTACATAAAAATGAAACAAAATAAAGGCATGCTGTCCACCTACAACTACTGTTGAGAACCACGGCGGAAGGGTCCCCAGCAAACTTCCAGCAGCCAGCTGATGATTGGCTCACAGCCACCCCAGCAAACTTCTAGCTGCCAACTGATTGGCTCCTCTGCAGTGATGCTCATTGGGCTGTTTCCCAGCCCTTTCAGACCACGGACCTGCTCATTGGGGAACTTTTTTGGCTCTGCCCACAGGACCCAGCCAATCAGCCTCAAGAGCAGGAGGAGTGGGGGAGGTTGAGAGGCTTGTGGGAAGCCAGTGGTGGCAGTTGGGCTCTGAAGGTTTTCCTGAGGAGCTGTGTGGTTTGGTGTGTGTGTTCTAAAAATAAAGTTCGTTTCTTTTGACAAGTGGCTCCTGAATTGTTCCTTAGCACTACATAAAAATGAAACAAAATAAAGGCATGCTGTCCACCCACAACTACAAAAATTTTTTTAAAAATTATCAAATTGTACATTTAAATTGGTGAATCGTATTGATATAATTATATCTCAATAAAGCAATTTTTAAAATCACATATCTCCTTTTACTATCACTCCAAAAATCAGGTTTCCTCACTACCTGCAGGGCTTTCCAGGTGCTTGTTTCCTGCCCCTATTCCCCCCCATTTTTATATTACCTACAGCTCTCACGATTCCCACCCCCAACTGTACTTTGGGGATCTTTACATTAGACTGTTGTATATAGTTTTATATCATTCTAACTCATGACAGTATTCCACAGTACTGATATGTCAGTTTATTTCGTTATCCTATGACTCAACCATTTTTACTGAGTGTCCAAGGTGTGCCAAGTTCAAGGAATACAAAAACAGACTGGTTCTCTGCCTTCTTAGTGCTTTTAGACAATTGGGGAAGGGGGGGCGAATTGTGAAGACATCATTAAATGTGAAATTTTAACTATTTTGGGAGTTTATGATGCTTTGAGCCTGAGTAATCAGAATATCTATTTAGCCAAGAAGTCAAAAAAGTACTATAAACAGAGCTGAAGGGTGGATAAACATAGAACTAGTGGGAACTGTGGCACTATTAAACCTAAACGTCAACAACAGAGTGGTGAAGGAGGTGAAATTCATGAAGAACTTGATTTTATTTATTTATTTTTTTAAATTTTTATTGTTGGTTGTTCAAAACATTACATAGTTCTTGATATATCATATTTCACACTTTGATTCAAGTGGGTTATGAACTCCCATTTTTACCCCGTATACAGATTGCAGAATCACATCAGTTACACATCCATTGATTTACATATTGCCATACTAGTGTCTGTTGTGTTCTGCTGCCTTTCCTATCCTCTACTATCCCCCCTCCCCTCCCCTCCCCTCCCCTCTTCTCTCTCTACCCCCTCTACTGTCATTCATTTCTCCCCCTTGTATTATTTTTCCCTTTCCCCTCACTTCCTCTTGTATGTACTTTTGTATAACCCTGAGGGTCTCCTTCCATTTCCATGCAATTTCCCTTCTCTCTCCCTTTCCCTCCCACCTCTCATCCCTGTTTAATGTTAATCTTCTTCTCATGCTCTTCGTCCCTACTCTGAAGAACTTGATTTTATTAAACGTTCCTTCTTTTTAACATTTATTTTGTAATAAGAAAAAAATATGTTTTTAAAATAAGGAAGCTTTACACTTCCTGAACATACAGAATAAATCTTTCATGCTTCTAGGAGAGGAAAGATACAAGAAACCTCCTTGACTGCCTTCTGTTAAAAAAATCAACAGCCGATGGAAACGTCTTGGAACTCTCGTCTTGATATAGGACCTGGTGTGTCCTACCACCTTACTAGATTGCCACCGTTTCTCACCCGCAGATCTGTTATTAACCACTTATCTGTCTGAAATGCAGGGTCCATCTTCGCCTCTCCACCAGGCCAGATTTTGATCGCGTGCTTGAAAAGGGTACATTCGGGGGATCTGGGAATCCCCAAAGCCTAGCGTGAAAGAGAAAGACGCCCAAACATTCACTATCTAACCCATAATGCTTTTCTCGCATTCCCGGAAGCAAGGATACAACCCTACAACACATTTTTCTGAGCAGAGGCATTTTGCCTTGAGTCTGATTGGAAGTGACAAAGCGAGGCATCATGGGACTTCGCCCTTCTCCCAGTATGCCTGTGCATCCGGCCTCGCCCCACTCCTGGAGCCACGTCCGGAAAGTAGCAGCCGAGAGAGATGCACGTCAGCAAAGGTATGGCCAATTCCCTGCGTGAGCAGGCGTAGTGGCGCTGGCAGTACCGGAAGAACAGGGGGATGGGGCGACGGTGACGCGAATCTGTCCGCGTTGGAGGGGCAGGGCCGCAGCCAGAGTTGCCGGGGCCGCCGTGTGACGTGGCACAGCCGGAGAATTAAAGTCAGAGCCTGAGCTGCCGCGCCAGTCGCCAAGCCGGTCCTCCACCCGCTAATTCCTGTCCCGAAGCTTCACCCGTCACGCCGGCCAACGAGCGGTCCCTGTCGCCCCCTTTCTGCCTCAGGTCTTTCTTTTCCCTTGCGCTCAGTTTGTTGGGAGTGTGAAAGGAGAAGGCCCAGGGACGCCCCGACCCCTTATTCTGCCCATCGCAAGTGCCACTACCGCCATGGGCCTCACCATCTCTTCTCTGTTCTCCCGCCTCTTCGGCAAGAAGCAGATGCGTATTTTGATGGGTGAGTGAGGGACCGAAGGCCAGACCCCTGTACGGATCGGGAAGGAGGCCGGATCTTGAAGCTTGGGGCCGCCTCGGGGCCTGTTTTTTCCTCCGCCAGCTGTGGTGGGGGAGGGGTGACGGGTCGGGGGTCGGAAAGAATTCTTTTGGGGGAACAATGGCGAAAGGTGAGCGATTACCGCGGATCGGCCGCTAAAGAGGCAGGTTCAGAGCCTCGGGAAACATTTTTCTTATTCTGGACTTGATTTTCCTTGTTCTAATTGAAAACCGGACTAGATTGGGTGGAGATTTGGGGAAAGCGAACGCTGGTAAGGTCCGTTCTGAGAGTGCGATTTTCTTTTCCTCTAACCTGGTTGTGGGCAGCAATTGAGAGGGAGTCTCAGCGTCTCCAGCCTTCCTCCTCCTCCTTTCCTCTTGGTGTACACGGTCTGCGTACACCATTGGTAGGTGAGCGAGCGGCCACCGACGACTTGGTGCCGCCTGGGGCAGGAAGTGACCAGGGCCAGTGCGATGGCGAGGGGGCACCCTAGGTTTGTGGGGAGTCCGGAATCTTTAGCTCATTTTGCTAAACTTTGCCTCGCGCTGGATTCGGCTTCTTTTTTCCCCCCTTATTAATGAGCTCATTCCATGCAAACCAAGTTTAGCATGTATCTATTTCTTTTGTCTACGTTTAAGAACTCTAAATATATTTGGTTTATTATAAACTAATATCTGTCCAGCTTAAGGTTTAACACAGAAAACTTTGAGAAACTACTTTTAAAACCTGGTAAATTTTTAATACCTTAACCGAACATCATGACGTTTGATTTTAAGATAACCTTATCAAATAGTAACTACAATTTTTTTTTTTAATTTCTTTTCGAAACTTAAAATTTTAAAAACTACTTTTTCAGAGGCTTTTTTTTTTTTTTTTTTTTTTTGCACAGCTGAGGGAGAAGGGTTGTCACTTGGGTGATGTAAGCAACCCCTCCTTCCTAGTACTGTGAGTAGTTTCTACCTCACAACCGAATAATAGACCTGAATAATGTTAAAAGTAGCCTCTCAAGTGTGAAGCTTGTTGGTTTATTTGTTTTCTAGAGAGTGGCAGTGGGACCTATTTTTCCAGTTCTGCTATTGTGATAAGTTCAATATTTTAAGGTATATGAAGAGTTATTTTACACATTTGGTTCTTGTTTTATTTTCCTCTTAGTTTCTTTACAATCCATAAAACAATTGTTCATGATTCGTTCACAAAGACAAGTTAGTGTTTTTAAGTTTCTCATATTTCCTTTATAAGAGGACAGACTTAGAAGGGCAGGCATATTATTTAAGTTTTAAGTGGCTGAAAATTGGCAGTCAGAAAAAGAATCTGAAGTCAGTGGGAGAACTTTTGGACTATGATAAATAAAATTTCCAGCCTGTTTCTTAGAGGTTTACCTGGACGTAATTGTGTTCCTGAAGATGTAGTACATTGGTTGTTTTACTTAATGTTTATCATAAATCAGTTGCTATTTTTCCTTTCCTTGGTCTTTTGTGATGGTTAAAACTATCAGAATGGGAAGAAGGGCAGAAATATGCTATAAACAATGTCTTATATTTGCTTTCCCCTCTTTCCCACATAATGATCAGAAGAAAATGGAAGGGGATAAGTATTTAATTTTCTGCAAGTGATAGAAGACAGGATTTGGAATTATTTATTTTATGGTTTGCTATTCTTTTTTCATTAATTTTTCTTTTTTTTTTTTTTTTTTTTTTGGTAATTATAGATGGACAGAATGCCTTTGTTTATTTTTATGTAGTGCTGAGGATTGAACCCAGTGCCTCATGCATGCTAGTCAAGTGCTTGCTGCTGAGCTACAGCCCCAGTCCTATGGTTTGCTTTTCTTCTTTTGCACTTTAGGAGTAATCAGTTTTACTTGATTAAAAACACTTTTGTCACAAGGCGAATTTTTATGGTAACTTATTAGAGTAAGTACAAACAGGGATATGTTCTCAAGAACAGGGAAAGGAGGTGGTTTAAAAGTTTGATAAGTCTTAGGTTTTTCTTTGTGGCTTTAAGAGTGACAGCATAAATAGTAGGTCACAAAATGTATTAAAAGCAGTTAGCTAATGTGTCTGTTTTGCCAGGCTACTGTGGAAAAGATGTAAATTTAATTCCTGCCTTTACTGCTGTCCCAAAAGTTCAAGTTATTGAAAAAAATCAGTGTTGGAAGATAAGGCTGGTAGTTAACTGTAATTAGAAATAAAAAGCCAACACTCTCAAATTTAAAGTCTTTTGGACTCTTGAAGGACAGAAACTATGTAGTATTTATAAGGGCTAATTACTCATGTTTTGCTATTAAGTTTAAATTCAAGGGCAGCCAGATATCATCCGAGTTCTTATACAGCTGGAGTTAGAAAGCAGTTAGCCTTACATTAATTTATTTTAAGTAGATATCCATATCTTGGTCTGTGATAAAATGTTAGTTTTAATAAGGGAATCTGTGAATTTTTGTTTATATCTGAATATGCTCATGGGTTCTGCAGAGGATAGTTATTCTCAACCTCTTTTACTTTGAATTTTTGAGTTTTTAACCTGTTGAAAAGGATCGAAAAGTATTGCTTTAAAAGTTTGCTAATACCATTGTAGTCTGTATTGCCTTGAATGTTACTGTGGTTCTTTGGGACCAGAGAGGTTCAAGAGGAAGGATCTTTTATTTGCCAAGTTTAAGAAATATTAGCAATATTTTATGTGGGTCTTCAAACTAAAAGTGTGTTTCATATTTTTCAGCATATTTCGTAAATCCATTTATTATGTAGTTTTTTTGCACTGATTAAAAAATATGTCCTGTTTGTGAAATTTAGACAACATGTGAAAGAATAAAGTAATAATTGCTTGTAATTACTATTTCACTATTATTTGCCTTCTTTACTCTCATGTTTTAAAAGTTCCAAAGTAGCTATATCATTTTTCAGTTCTAAAATTGAGTTGTGATAGTTTTTGTTCTCATTTTTAACTTATCCTTATTGCAAGCATTTTCTCATGTCATTAGTTGAAAACATAATTACTAGCCCTTTAAATTTTTTTTGTAAAGGGGCCTGGGCTGGGGATGTAGCTCAATGGTAGAGTACATGCCTAGCATGCCTGCAGTCCTGGATTTGAGTCCCAGCACTGCAAAATAAAATAAGGCCTTTCTGATTAGTTATGAGAATATAGGAAATTTTCAAAATCTGAAAGGGAAAAAAATCAAGTTTCATGTTACTAGAAGTTGATAGATACAGCCATACCTAGGTACATCTGCATTACAACAAAGTGTGGCTAACACTGACTTTTATGATATGTTTCTAATTAACCTGATAAATCAAGTGCAAATGTTCCTGAACTGTTAAGTAGAAGCAAAACTTACACTCACTGTACTTTTTCATAGCTGGTAGCCTCAGTTTCTGTTTGAATGGTCAAACAGATAATATTAAGGTACATTACATCCTCCAGAAAAATTTAAAGGCAGAATGGCAGTATTTATAAACAATACTTTAGCACTCTGGTGTCAGGATTAGGTTGTTTGTCTTTTTATTTTTTTAAGTTGTAATATTTATGTACCATAAAATTTACGGTTTTTAGTATATTTGTATTTTGTAGCCATCACCACTCTCTAATTCCAGAATATTTTCATCATTCCAAAAAAGAAATCTATACCCTTTAGCAGACATTTCCATTCTCCTCTTCCCATTCTCTGGCAGTCTCTAATCTACTTTATTAATTTATTAAAAAAAAAATTTGGAGGTGGGGGGCTGGAGTTGCGGCTCAGCTGTAGAGTGCTTGCCTAGTGCGTGTGAGGCCCTGGGTTCGATCCTCAGCACCACATTAAAGTAAATTTTAAAAAGGTATTATTGACAACTACAATTAAAAAATAAATATTAAAAAAATTTGTAGTTGTAGATTAATAGAATGCCTTTATTTATTTTTTTATGCAGTTCTGAGGATTGAACTCAGTGCCCCACACATGCTAGGCAAATGCTCTGCCATTGAGCTAAAGTCCAGCCTCTCTAATCTACTTTATTTTTGTGTTTGTCTATTCTGAACATTTTATACCATGGAATCATGTAATATGTAGCCCTTTGTGTGGCTTTTTTCGCTTGGAATGATGTTTTCAAAGTTCTTGTTGTAGCATGTATTTGTACTTCATGCCTTTTTTATTTTATTTATTTTACTTTTTAAATATTTATTTTTTAGTTGTAGTTGGATACAATACCTTTGTTTTATTTATTTATTTATTTTTATGTGGTGCTGAGGATCTAACCCAGGGCCTCACACTTGCTAGGCGAGTGCTCTACCGCTGAGCCACAACCTCAGCCCTTCATGCCTTTTTTAAATGGCCAAATAGTAATTCCATTGTATGACACCTATAACACATTTTGTTTCTCCTTTCATTAGTTGATGTAAATTTGGGCATTTGTACTTACTGGTCTCATAAATAATGGCATTGTGATATTATGAACATATGTGACAAGTTTGTTTTGGTGGGCACATATTTTAATTCTCAGGTAAAAACCTAGGAGTGCAATTTGGGGGTCATATGATAATCGTTTAACATTTTGGGGAACTGACAAATTGTTTTCAAAAGCAGTGTGTCATTCACATTCCCACTAGCAACATTTGAAGGTTCTAATTCTACAGAATACCTAGGGTTTTGAACACCTGCTGTTTTACTTCTGTGATTCTGGGGACATTTCTGAACTTAAGATGCCTAGTCTGAAAAATGGAAGGTTAATTTAAGGATGTAAGTGTCAAAAATATGGACCTGGTACTGTGCTTGGAACACAATAACTCTCAATTTTAAATGATTATTTTAAAATTATGGTGTATTTCAAACTTTTTATGAAAATTTGAAGTGGAAAATGAAATTAAAAGGAAAACAAAATTTGAAAGAGAAAGGAAAACATGAAGGAAAATAATTTTTCCCATCTGGAAAGGGTTTTTTTCTGTACTTTTTTTTTTTCCCTTTCAAAGTTGATATAATTGCATCTGCCTTCTTTTTAAAAATATTTTTATTTAGTTGTAGAAGGACACATTAACTTATTTTGTTTAAAATTTTTATGTGGTGCTGAGGATTGAACCCAGTGCCTCACACATGCGAGGCAAGTGCTCTATCACTGAGCATCACATCCCCAACCCTGCATCGGCCTTCTTTAACTTGAAATATAAGAATTTCTGACTGCTGTAAGTTGGTAGACATACTTTTTAATGATTGGCAAAGGTTACTGAAGTAGTTTTGCTTGGAATATTAACACTTTGATCAAAGTACAGGCCTAGTTAAGAATAAGTAGTGATTCCAGCATATCTTCCAATACATTGACCTGTTTATAATAGTGGAGGGGAGGGAAAACTTACTGAATTGTACAGATTATTCTTCCCTTGGTTATTTGAGAATTGGTTATAGTTTCACTTTGTGGAAAAAATCTATTGCCAAATATTGAAACATAGGGAAATACATATTAAGAAATGACTAAAGTGGGACCAGCGTTGTGGCTCAGTGGTGGAGCGCTTGCCTAGCATGCTTGAGGCACTGGGTTCAGTCCCCAGCACCACATAAAAATAAAACCAAATAAAATAAAGGTGTTGTGTTCATCTACTACTAATATATATATATATATATATATAAATATAAGTAGAAAAATTTTAAAAAAATAGAAATTTCTAAAGTGGCACAAAATTGTTAGACCAACAAGTTTTTGTGTAAAGAACTATATAATGAGTTTTAAGTTGATGATGGTGTGTTCCTACAATTTGTGCATCTTAAAGCTCACAATAGAAATGCCTTTTTTTTTTTTGAGTTGTTGACAGACTTTAATAATTTTATTTACTTATATGCAGTGCTGAGAATTGAATCCAGTGCCTCACACATGCTATGCAAGTGCACTACTGCTGAGCCACAACCCCAGCCTTTAAAAAACAAAACAAATAAAAAACAACTCTTGGTTTGTATTTATACAGCACCATTATTTTGGATACAATTGAGAAGATATCTTTTATGTGGCTATGAGCTATTAAAACTGTAGTTTGGGCTGGGGATGTGGCTCAAGCGGTAGCGCGCTCGCCTGGCATGCATGCGGCCCGGGTTCGATCCTCAGCACCACATACAAACAAAGATGTTGTGTCCGCCGATAACTAAAAAATAAATATTAAAATTCTCTCTCTCTGTCTCTCTAAAACAAAAACAAAACAACAACAAAAAAACTGTAGTTTGGGAGGCGGTTTTGTGGTGCTATAGATCAGACCCGGGGCTTAATGCATGCTGATGTGCTCTGCCACTGATCTATGTCCCCAGCCCTGTTGTCTGGTAGTTTGTTTTGTTTGTTATGCTTCTGGGAACCAAACCCAGGGCTTCTTGAATACTAGGCAAGCTTTCTACCACCTAGCTACAGCCCTAACCCCTTGTAATTTTCATGTAAAAAATAATTTGTGGGTGCTTAAAAGGTCTTTCTGATTGCATTATTTTGTAAATGCTTCCCTGAAAAATAAAAGTTCTTATTGAAGGCTATAAAGCAGTCATCTTCAAAAGGATGCTTCAGGAAATGTAAACAGTTCAACATTTTGATAAAAGAAATTTATTTATTTATTTATTTATTTAATGAAAGCCATACTTGCTAATCAGGTTAAAAAAGACTCTGCAGGCTGCTGTTGTAGTTAAGTGGTAGAGTGTTTGCCTAGCATGTGTGAGGCATGGGTTTGATCCTTGGTGCCACATAAAAAATAAAAAAAGACTTACCGTTATAAAACTTATTAAAAGAATAATTGGAATACTTGTGTCTTTTTTTATAACTTAAAATAATTATTTAATCATGATTCATCTTGGACTTTATGCATTCTTAGTATTTTTTGATTTATATTTTATTGGTGTGATACTGGGAATTAAACCCAGGAGTGCTCTACCATTGAACTGCATCCCCAGTCCTTCTCATTTATTTTAAGACAGGGTCTTGTTAATTTGCTTAGGCAGTTTAAACTGGCAGTCCTCTTGCTCAGCTTCCTCACTTGCTGGAAATGCAAGCATGGGCCACCATGCCTGGCTTTTACATTGTTTTTAAAAGGTGGAATGAGGTCTTGCTGGACCTCCAGTGAGGATTGGTCAGTTCTCAGTATATGATTTGAGTGCTTTTGTTTTTCATTTTCCTTTTTCCTAACCAGCATTTCAGTTTCAGTTCTGACTTGGCTTAATTGTGTTTGGATTTTAAGGTGATTTTGTTGTTGTTGTTTTCTTAAAAATATCTTATTCTCTCAAGAGAGATAGCATTGTAGAAAAATTAAAAGATTTGGTTGTTTTACACGCCTTCCTTTTGTGTGTGTTTTCACTGAAGATGTCAGATTTTACAGTAGTGTCTTCTCTTTGCTAATTATTCAAATTGTTTTCTTATTTATTTTTTGTGGTGCTGGGGATTAAACCCATGGCCTTGCACATGGTAGGCACTTTTCTACCATTGAGTTATATCCCATGCTTTCCTGATTTTTTTTTTTTTTAACACAATACCTTTATTTTATTGTTGTATTTTATGTGATGCCGGGGATTGAACCCAGTGCCTCACACATGCTAGGCAAGATCTCTACCACTGAGCCACAACCCTGGCCCCAAAGAGCACTTTATTTTTATTTTTGGTGTGTGTTGGGGATTGAACCAAGGGCCTTGTGCATGCAAGGCAAGCACTCTACCAACTGAGCAATAGTCCTCACCCTCTGCTGATCTTTTTGTTACTGTTTCATATTCAAAAATAAAACTTTGTATAGTAGTTCTTATGCCCAAGAATGAAGGCTTGGGGTGGATGACTCATTGTACTGTATGTGTCATAGAATTTTAGAAAGAATAAACCTGTGATCTAGTATAAAAGGGGGAAAAGGATTTGATTAGAGGGCACAGGTATAAGAAGTCATAGAGGCTAGATCATGAAGGGAAATCTTAAAAGTAGGGTAGAGAATAGGAAGGATTAGGTGGGATAAGTCTGAATTACTATATAGTCTTCATTTTGGACAAACTGATAAAAATTAAACTTACTGCACAGGAATGAAAACAAGATAATTGAGATGATTTCAGTTTTTTTTTTTTATATAAAACTTACTGTCATTGCTTTCATGTGCTAAATTATGCTTTGATGTAAATATATAGAATGTGTCCTTGCTGCAATCAGTACTCAGTTGATTTTTAAATAATATATATTTTTAGTTGTAGATGGACAGAATACCTTTATTTTATTTATTTTTTTAATGTGGTGCCAGGAATCAAACCCAGTGCCTCACACAAGCACTCTACCACAGAGCCACAAACCCGGCCCCTCAATTAATTTTTTAAAAAATATGTCATAAAAATAAATGAGGCTGCTAAAAGTGACGTTCTTAGAAAATTGAGACATTCAGTGAGGTTATTAGATATTGGTCTTTGATTTATGAGGGCTTTTGCAAACAATATAGAATATACAGATTTTGAGAGAGTCATACTTGAAAGGACTTAATTTGTTCTTCCCTATCATTGTAATAAGTTTATCATTTTCCAATGTGGATTTTTTCTCTATAGCAAGTACATCCCTCCCTACTTACACCTTAGCTTCAATTGAATTGTTTTAAGAAGAAAGACTTGATTTATATTGGAGAACCATTTTTACAATACAAATTAAGCCAGACTTTGGTTCTTTTTTTTTTTTTTTTTTAAGAGAGAGAATTTTAATATTTATTTTTTAGTTTTTTGGCGGACACAACATCTTTGTTTGTTTTTTGTATGTGGTGCTGAGGATCGAACCCGGGCCGCACGCATGCCAGGCGAGCGCGCTACCGCTTGAGCCACATCCCAAGCCCCAGACTTTGGTTCTTATTTGTGCATATTTGATGTTGAAATGGATGAGGTAGGGGTATATTTAGCCTTTTCTTCATTTATTATTATAAGGAGACCAAGACACTGTTACCTATATTTTCTCCTTAACATCAAGTCATTTTGCTTAAAATATGCTCTATAGATTTTGTTATTATTCTGTGTTCTCTGATTCATCTTCTAATTTGTTTTTGTTTTTTAGTTTTTTTTAGTACCAGGTATTGAACCTTTTATTTTATTTTGAGAACAGGGTCTCATTAAAGTTGCCTAGGGCCTCATTAAGTTGCTGAGGCTGACCTTGAACTTGTGATCCTTCTGCCTCGAACTCCCAAGTTTCAAGGATTACAGGTGTGTGCCTCTAAGAGGGTGGGTGATAGACAGGTTCTGAGATGTGCACCTGTAATCACAGCTCCTTGGGAGGATGAGATTGGAAGATTTTAACTTTGAGGCTGGCCTCAGCGATTTAGTGAGGCCCTGTTTCAAAATAAAAGGGACTGAGAGAGGATGTACTTAGTGGTAAAACACCCCTAGGTTTAATCCCCAGTACCACAAAAAAATAAAATAAAAAATAAAAATCATTTAACCTAGGGCTGAGTATATGGCTCACTGCAGAGTGCTTACCTATCAAGTTTGTGGCAGAACCAAAGATTAGATTCTGAGTCAACCAGGTATTCTTTTCCTTTTGCTACTTTATGCTGTCTTGATAGGTCTAGAAAGAAAAATAGAAAGGCTTCTAGTATATTCCCTTTGGGAATCAGAAGTGAGGTGATTTTTGTTTCTAACTCAGATTTGTGCCGTGAACAGTCAACTTTTACTTTCAAATTAATAAGTCATTATAAAATTATTTCTTTGTATGCTTTTGGTCTAGATTTTAAATCTGTAATGTCTTCTTCTAGTTGGATTGGATGCTGCTGGCAAGACGACCATTCTGTATAAACTGAAGTTAGGGGAGATAGTCACCACCATTCCTACCATTGGTAAGAAAGTTTACTGTTGACTTTAACTTACATCTTAATGGGAAAAAAGGCAGAATCTGTGTTTTTGTTAAAACTTGATGATTTTCTTGATAGGATAACTAAGATATTCCATAGTAAAGGAGTTTATTTTAACAATGCATTATGCACAGCATTTTTGTTTTTCCTTGTAGGTTTTAATGTGGAAACAGTAGAGTATAAGAACATTTGTTTCACAGTATGGGATGTTGGTGGTCAAGATAAAATTAGGCCTCTCTGGAGGCATTACTTCCAGAATACCCAGGTAAGAATGGTATAAAAAAAATTTAAGACCTTTTTTGTAGGTTTCATGTAATGAATTTTACATTAATATCTAGTGTTTACTTGGAGGTTGGTGTGTATCATATGAGTTGACCTTATTACTACTCCCATATTCTTTAGTGGACTTTCATTCATGCTTTTGAAAGCTAAACTACCTGTGGTAAGAGTTAGCTAACCCAGTAAGATTTTGAAAGATGAGGTGGGATGGGTGCAGATGTGGTTTTCAAGAATGAGGTACCAGAAGATCTCAGACTATCTCCCAAATTAACAAATGAATTACAACTTCCACAGAGACCAGTGGAATATGGCCTTGAAATCACCTCTTCAAAACCCCCTGTCCTGCTGATGGGCAGAATCACAGCCTCTGGGACAGGAGTCTCCTGTGTTTCTCCTTTGCTAGCAAAGAAAAAAAGAAAAAAAAAAAAACTTTTTTTCTTTTTCTCAAAAAAAAAAAAAAGCATGAATTAGGTCTCTCATTGTTAGTTTAGAAAGAAAAGTATGTGTAAATTTCTATCGTAGTGGTTTCTAATAAATGTAAGATAATGATAGACCTTCTCAAGTAGCCCAGTGTTTGTTACTTTATTTAAAATTTATCTTAAAATATTTAAGATAAATGTTATGTTGACTTGTAAGATAATTTTATTAGTGTCATGTAGTATATATAATACTGGCATGGAAGAGACTTTAGTGATTCTGTAGATTAGGAGTTCTCAAATTTAGCTGCATATGATAATCACCTAAGGAGCTCTCAAAATCCAGAAGCCTCAATCATATCAAAATACCACTTGAATCAGAATCTCTGAGCAAGTAACTAAGCATCATTAGCATTTCTAAAACATGAATGTGCATATGAATTACCTGGATATTTGTCAAAAATACATATTGGTTAAACAGAGCCAGGCCTGGGGTTCTAGCAAGTTCTCTGGTGATGCTGATTTTGGATCTTACAACAGTCATACTAACACTTTTGGGCTGTAAGTAAGGCTCTCTTCCTTGTCCTCTACTCATTAGATAAATGTCAGTAGCAGCTGTCTCACTGAATTTTGACAATCCAAAATTTGGAAAATAGTCCCTGGGAGCAAAATTGCTTCTCAGTGAGAACCACCGTTGTAGTTTAAATCTCATGAGGAAATTAAAACTTGAAATGACTTCAAGATTGGAGAGTTCTTTGCTTAATCTAGTCCCGATTCTGCTGTCTTTTCTACTCATTAGTTTTTATTTATTACTGAAGTTGATAATTTTAAAAAATTAAAGTGTGATGGGGCTGGGATTGTGGCTCAGTGGTAGAGCACTCCCCTAGCATGGGCGGGACCCAGGTTCGATCCTCAGCACCACATAAAAATAAAGGCATTGTGTTGTGTCCATTTACACCTAAGAAATAAATATTAAAAAAAATTAAAGTGTGATATTAAAAGTACTGATATGTTTTAAATTTGTAATGTTAGACTTGCTCTCCAACATTTAAAATATTGCATGCAAATGAGATATAATGCCACCAGAGGGCAGTGAATATCCCAGGTGAGAGGTTGGAACAAACCTAGTATAAGTAGTAGGTCAAAATAAGAAAATGGGATACTTTCTTATTTAAAAACAAGAATGTGTATGTCATTAAAATAGCTTTGCTTATCAAAGTTGCCATACTTTAAAAAACTTTATTTAGCATAATAAATTCCCATTATTACAATTTTAGTTGTTGGATATAGTCAATATTGTTTAACCGATAGTCATGTTTAGTGAACCCCAATCCCCTGAATTATTTAAAAATGAGTCTTAGCGTTTCATTTAGGGAGTTTTTGTTTTTGTTTTGGGAGTTTGTTTTTGTACTGAGATTGAAGCCAGGGGTGCTTTATAACTGGGTTACATTCCCAGCCCTTTTTTAAAAAATTTGAGATAGGGTCTCTGGATAAATTGCCCAGGTTGCCCTTGAACTTATGATGATCTTGCCTCTGCCTCCCAAGTTGTTTGGATTACAGGTGCCACCACTGGGCCTGGCTAGGGAGCATATTTTTGAAGTAAAGTTAAGCATCATGTAAAACCTTATAATTCTTGATCCACCAGTAACCATGGTTTTATCTCTGGATTTACTTACAACACTTTGTAAGAATTTTTGAGTTTTAAATTTTAGATTAGCTCCATTCCTGGCCTTCACGCCACCCTAGAATTAAAATCCCAAGTATTTCTTCCTAGGGAATTCATATCTGCTGGAGAAAGTCTTAGGTGTCACCTGATGTAATCACAGTTAAGCTCTTAGCTTGCATTTCTAGCATTCCTGATCAGTTTTTCTCAGTGGTAGTGCACTTGCCTGGCATGTGTGAGGCGCTGGCATGTGTGAGTACCACATATAAATACATAAATAAAATAAAGGTCTATTAACAACTAAAAAAATATTTAAGTAAAAAGAGGGCTGGGTTGTGGCGCAGTAGTGTAGAGTGCTTGCGTAGCATGTGTGAGGCACTGGATTTGATCTTTAGCACCACAAAACAAATAAATAAATAAAGGTATTGTGTCCATCTACAACTAAAAAAATAAGGAGAAAGAAAAAAGAAAAGTAAAAAGGGCTGGAGTGTAGCTTAATGGTAGAGCCCCCTAGGTTCAATCCCCCATTACAAAAAAAAAAAAACCATAAATAAAATACTTTAGAAGGTAGGGTTGTAGGAAGAAAAATATTAAAAGCAGTGAATCACATTAGCAAAATACCAATAGATTTTACCAAAGCTATTAAATTAATCTGTCCCTGCTTTTCTGGCTGAGAATTTCATACTTTCCCATATGAAAGTTGTTTTAATGTTTTGAGGTACTGGATTAAACCCAGAGCTGCTTTATCACTGTGCCACATCCCCAGCCCTTTGTATTTTTTATTTTGAGACAGGATCTTGCTAAGTTATTTAGGGCCTTTCTAAATTGCTGAGGCTAGCCTCAAACTTACAATCCTCTGCTTCAGCCTATCAAGTTGTTGGGATTACACCATGACTGGCTTCCATTTGAAATTTTTTCAAAAAGTCTTAATTCAAATTATTGCCTCCAAATGGTATCTCTTTTGTAGTACAGAATTATTATATTTGTAAATATCTTTAAAGACTGTCACTACTGAGACCCTGCTTCAAAATAAAAACAGCTTGTGATGTAGCTTGGTGGTAGATCACCCTGAGGTACTGCTGAAAAAAAAAAAAAACATCACTACCTTCCTTTTTTGTTAAGAATTTCTTATTTGCACAGGGCACAGTTGTGCACCCCTGTAATCCCAGTGGCTCCAAAGGCTGAAACAGGAGGACTGAAATTTTAAAGCCAGCCTCAGCAATTGAGCGAGGCCCTAAGCAACTTAGTGAGATCTTGTCTGTCAGTAAAATGTTTTTAAAAGGCTGGATATGTGGCTTATGGTTAAGTACCCTTGGGTTCAATACCCAGACCAAAAAAAAAAAAAAAAATTCAGTTTGATCAAGTGAACCTTGAAATTTTCATGTTTTTGTTTTTTTTGTTCCCAGATTAAACTTGATGATGAGATAGTTTTAAAGATTTTATGGGGCCGGGGATGTGGCTCAAGTGGTAGCATACATGCGGCCCGGGTTCGATCCTCAGCACCACATACATACAAACAAAGATGTTGTGTCCGCTGAAAAACTAAAAAATAAATAAATAAATATTGAAAATTCTCTCTCTCTCTTTAAAAAAAAAAAAAAAATTATTTTTCCCCTTTGGCAGTACTGAGGATAGAACCTAGGGCCTATGTGTGCAAGGCAAATACTTTACCACAATCCTTGTGTTATATTTTGTTTGAGTCTTCTCATGATAGAGTTGGCAGGCAACATTCTGGAATAAGGCTCTTTTTTTCTTTCCACGTTGAAGCATATGCAAACTATTTTAGGGCATGCTCTCCCTTCACTCCTGCCACTTTTTTTTTTTTTCTTTTTTGTAGCATGCTTTTTTGGGAATAAGCCTGTTCTTAGTAAATTCATGATTCTTTGGGATCATTAGTTTATTCTTTTTCCTTTTGTCTTCACGTTGTGTTTATTTTGCTCTTTACTTACTTGTGCTTATATATGCTAGGGAAGAAAAAAGGGTTGAAAAGTATTTTAAGCATAGTTGAGAAAAGTCGTCATTGGTTAAGATTAAGATTTTTCTTTTAGATTTGAAATTACATAAGTTAAAATCACAAATAATGCTTATTAGTTTTTAGTATTAAAACCCTGAGGTGGGCTGGGGATGTGGCTCAAGCGGTAGCGCACTCGCCTGGCATGTGTGCGGCCCGGGTTCGATCCTCAGCACCACATACAAACAAAGATGTTGTGTCTGCCGAGAACTAAAAAATAAAAAAATATTAAAAAAAAAAAAATAAAACCCTGAGGTGTTTTTTTTTGTTGTTGTTACATTTCAGTAAGGGAACATTTTCTTCCAGTGTCTAACCTTGATAACATTTTGCTAGTTATGTTTCATATTTACTCTGTGCCTTAAGTTTTATTTTATAATTTATTGAAATAATTTTTTTTCCTAGGGTCTTATTTTTGTGGTAGATAGCAATGATCGTGAAAGAATTCAGGAAGGAGCCCAAGTACTGCAGAAAATGGTAAGGATATATTTTAAATTTTATCATTTCCAAGGTTTGTTTTTCTGGGCGATTGTGGTGGTGTTAGTGGTTGGTATATATTTTTAAGAGGTAAAAAGTAACTTGAGAAACTATATTATTCTCAGATTCTTAAGGATGCACAAGAAAAAATCTCCTATAAAACTATTTATTTATTTATTTATTTAATTCGGTTCCAGCGATTATACATTGCAAGTATGTGTTCTGTCACTGGACTTGCATCCATGACCCCCTATGGAGCTTATTTATTTATTCATTTATGTTTTTGGTACTGGGGATTCCACTGAGCTTATATCCCTAGTCCTTTATATTTTTTATATTGAGACAGGGTCTCGATGAGTTGCTGAGGTTGGCTTTGAATTTGTAATCCTCCTGCTTCTGCTTTCTGAGTTACTGGGATTACAGTATTATGCCACTGTGCGAGTCCCTGTAGAGCTTTTTTTAAAAAACAGAAGAAAAGCTCCTTCGGTAAGTTGAAAAAGATGCATGGAGCTTAGTGATAGTATACTTGCCTGGTATGTTCAAAGCCCCTAGGTTCATTTTCTCATATCACCAAAAAAAAAACAACAAAAAAAGGGAAAGAAAAACTGCCCAGAATGCTCTGATTGATTTCAATGCCTGTTTCTGGTTAAGGATATTTGATTTAGTCCAGTTCTTTATTTTACAAATATAAAGTCTGCAGTTTTTCAGTTTTAACCTGAGATTTCTGGTTTGAATCCCTTCTTCTCAAGGTCATCAGGTTCAGTTTTCTTTTTTTTTCCATTTTTTACAGTACTGAGGATCAAACTCAGGGGCACTCTACCACTGAGCTATATTCCCAGCCTTTTTATTTAATGTTGAGACAGGATCTCACTAAGTTGCCCCTGGGCTGGCATTGAACTTGAAATTCTCCTGCTTCAGCTTCCCCAGTTCTTGGAATTATAGGAATGTGCTACCACACTGGACTCAGGTTCAGTTTTTTCTGTGCTGTGCCTATTATTCAGAAATATTTTATAATAGCAGCTATGATAAAGAATTCCATTAGAAAGAGGGGATTTGGTTGACAGTGGCATTTCTGCCTTGCCATGTATCTGATTAATGTTCTCATGTATTTATGATTATTAAAAATCTGGAAGAGAGAAAAATTGTCGAGGAACCTTGTTATGGTTTCAGATGTATGGCCATGAAATATTGACTGAAATGAAATTGTAATTATCATTCATTGCTCCTGTGAGTGGAATAGTTTATAAAAAAAATTTTTCTGTTATTTGTATAACTAAGTCACTGATGGCTTTTTGCCTGTTAAGTCAAATTTCACCTACTCTTTGTTGCAAACAGCTAAATTGAAATATAATTCACAAACCATAAAAATGGGCAGCTAAGTCTGGATGCAGTGGTACACGTCTATAACCCCAGTGGCTCCGGAGGCTGAGGCAGGAGGATCATGAATTCAAAGCCAGTTTCAGCAATTTAGTGAGGTCCTAAGCAACTCAATGAGATCCTGTCTTTAAATAAAGTATAAAAAAGGGCTGGGGACATGAATCAGTAGTTAATACCCCTGGGTTGGGTTAAATCCCCAACACCAATAAGTAAAGATAAAATAAAATGTGCAAGTCAAGGCTGGGATGTAGCTCAGTGGTATAGCATTCAGTATATTCAAGGCTCTGGGTTGGATCTCTTGTACCCTAAAAAAGGTATACGTCAGTGGTCTTTAGTATACAGAGTTTTATAAACATCACCACAATCTAATATTAGAAAATTTCCATCATTCCAAAAAGAAATCCTGGAACCATTAGCAGTCACTCCCCATTACTTCCCTTTCCTACCCACATCCCTGGCCTCTGACAACCAATAATCTAGTATTCGTTTCTTTGTAATTATTTATTCTTTATGTTCCTATAAATGGAAATATTAATATGTGATCTTTTGTGTCTAACTTGTTTCACCTAGAATGATTTTTCAAGGGTCATCCATGTTGTGTTATACAATACTTAATCCTACTAGCTTTATGCTTGGTACTCTTCTTGCACCTTTTATGATACTACTAATATCTTAGTAATTTTATTTTCTCAGTGTTGTGAGACCCCATTGTCTGGAAAGGATAAAAATCCAAAAGGATCACCATCTAAATACTTTTGCTACTAAGTACTGTAAGATCATGCCTTAAACACTATATTCCCTTATATATTTCTTGTCCTTGGCAGTCTTCATTCTCTGTGGAAATTCATGAAAGTGATTTGCCTTGATGGGGTATAGGATGATTGGCTTAAAAAACATTTTTGCTTTACTTCAAGGCATATGATTATTTACTCTGGATTTAAAAACTGAAAGATATGAGATTTAAGTTGTAAGAGTACCTGAAGTTTACGTAGAGAAATTTGGTTGTTGTTTAACACTATTTAATGTTGAAAAAAAATATATATATATAGGAAGACATTGTTTTGGACAGTTAGTTACAATAATTGGACCCAGTTTTGTAGTTGTTAATGGTCTACTTTTTATTTCTAGCTTGAGGAAGATGAGCTGCAAGATGCAGTGCTGCTGCTTTTTGCAAACAAACAGGATTTGCCAAATGCTATGGCTATCAGCGAAATGACAGATAAATTAGGCCTTCAGTCTCTCCGTAACAGAACAGTAAGTATTTGAAGGTTAATATACTGACCTCCTGACTTCTAGAGTTACTATTTCAGCTAATACTCAATTTAAAAGTTGATAGTTATCCTCTGTGAAGGCAATGAGCACATCATTTATAAAAATTATGGTAACATAAGCCAGGCTGGTTCATGCCTATAATCCCAGCTACTGGGGAGGCTGATGCAGGAGAAATTTCAAGTTTGAGGCCAGTCTCAACAACTTAGTGAGACTGTGTCTCAAAAATAAATAAGTAAAAAGAGCTGGGGATGTTAGCTCAGTAGTAGAATGCTTGCCTAATGTGTGAGGCCCTGGGTTCAAACCCTAATACAATATGGTAATTTTTGATTATACAAAAGTCAGCCCTTTCAGTTGAGTAGTTTGTTAGTTACTGTTTCCTCATGAATATTCTCTTCAGTTTAAATGGTGGAAAGTTTACTAAATTTAATGACTAGGTAGATGTAGCTTTAAATATAAGGGGGGTTTGTGAGAAGCAAGAGGTGTGAGAAAACTCCTAATCTTAAAGCATAGATAATTTTGAGTAATCTTTATAGTTAGAAAATCTTTAGATAGCAAATTAATTATGTTTGAGAAGAAGTCATTTAATACATTTCCTCATATTTTCCATTGTTTTTGCATATTTTCGTTTTCTTTTTTCCATATAGTTAACAGTGACTGCTGACTTAGTAGTAACCTTGGACATTTGAAGGGGGAATACTTAGTATTTTGATTAAGAAAGTTTAAACACTGCTTATACACAATCTTGTTAATCAGTATTTTCTTGTCCTTTCTTCACAGTGGTATGTTCAAGCCACTTGTGCTACACAAGGAACTGGTCTGTATGAGGGACTTGATTGGCTGTCAAACGAGCTTTCAAAACGTTAAATAAAACTGGATATCTAACCAAGGACACATTTTGATAGAATTGGTCTAGGCTTGTTACAACAAAATTAGTTTGCATCTTGGTTATTAAACTGTATCTGGGACTGGTTTGGGCAGAATATTACAGCGTTTAAACTTATTTTGTTGCCAATTATTGTTTACCAAGTATAATGTTGCTCTTTAGCAATATGCTTGGTTTTGAAGAAATTCTTGGGGAAAAAGTATCCTTTTAATTTTGACTTCCTTTAAACCTAAATGCCTGGACATAGCTATTGTGACACCTTTAAATAAATCAGTTTTGAATGTTTTTTGAGCCCACAACAAATAATGTTTTAAAGTTATCCCCTTGCTACTTTACTGATACCTGTATCATTCCTGGGACAGTCTGCTGATTTGAACATGTAGCATTCCATTTGTATTTATTTCTATCCCTTGCCAAAAGGATTTTCTAATACTTCTTGTACCAGCCAGGGAAATGCTCCAAAACACTATTCAGCTATCTTGCACTGAGGAACTTAATATTTTTTCCCTATTATTGACTTCCTGGCTTCCGTCAGCCAAACTTAACCTTGGTGTGGTTTGGATTTGATAGCTAATTCTGTGCTGGTTGCAAAGAGTTCATATTGAGATGGCTTTTAATACTCAGCAGATTGTCTTTCTTTATATTATTATCTTCTTTATGTTGCATGTTGCTTTTGGTATCAGCCTGACTCTTTGCCCAGTATATGATAGTTCTGCTGGTGTTTTGTTTATTGATGAACATATCTTCATTAAGAGTTTTTTTGAAAACTCAGCAAACACAATAAGTTTTCTTCATAACCCATTTGAAATTATTCCTAATAAAATGATAAAATATATAACTGTGTGTTCTTCATGACTCTTTGTGTTTGAAATAAATTTTCCTGTATAGCAAAGTTGATTTGCATATTTTATAAACTGTGGCAAATAATATAAATCCCAGTGGGTTTATTAATTATTTAAGTTAGAACTAAATTTATCATGGGTTATTATTACCATGGAGTGGGCTGCAATATCAAAACTTTAGTTTTCAGCCAGACATAGCTGTGTGTACCTGTAATTCTCAGCAACTCAGGAAGTGAGGTAGGAGGATCACAAGTTTGAGGCCAGCCTCAGCACCTTAACAAGGCACTAAGCAACTTATTTAAATCCTGTCTCAAATTAAGAAATGAAAAGGGTTGGGGATGAAAATCATTCTGGGGTAAATCCCCAGTACCCAAAACAAACAAAAAAACCCAGAAAAATTTAGGCTTATAAAATTCCATTTGAAGCAGTAAATTTCAAAAGTTGCATCAAGAGCAAACAAATGGACTGCTCCAAAAGCATGTGTGATGTTTATTTTACAGCTAACACTAGTTGAAAAAGTTTTTTCCTCAAGTGCTGTTTGCATGGCAGAATACATAGACTTAGGTGATGCCACTGCACTACAAAGAAGAGCAAAGTTTACAATCACTTCTCTTTTTGATTTTACAAATTTTAAACTTCAACTGAGAACTGTATGTGACTCATTCTTTAGTTACTAAGGCAATAAAATTATACCCTATTAACTATATCTACTAAGTTATTAAGGACTAGAACTTGTTAGCGTTGAGTGACTTAAAGATTTTTGTCTGTATTCTAATATTTTATGTATTATAAATCTTGCTTTTTTATGGTGTTTTATTTTATTATACTTACTGAGGATCAAACCCAGGGCCTTGAACATGCTAAGCAAGTACTCTACCACAGTGTTACTTTTTTAATGGTTCTTAATGGCCTGAATAGATTCAGACATATTTATGGATCAAAAAGTTATTTCTAAAACCAGGTATACGCTTTAAAAATTGTATACTTTTGAATTAAAAAAAACCCATGGATTGAATGTAAGGAAAATGTACGTAAGCAGTTTATGATCATTTAAAAGAGGTTCTGGGATATAGAATATGTTTAACTAGTTTGTGTCACTTGATGATTACAACTTTCCTAGACTACTGGATGAATTCTCTCTTCTTTGCAAATAAGGGAGTTCTCATGTATATGGGATATGAAGTAGAAGATACAAAACTTCAGTAAGTTCAAAGTTCAGATCATTAATTTTAAAAAGCTAATAACTCAATTAAGCTGAAGTTACTTTCCATGGACTCTAGAGAATCCATATACTCTAATTTGTTATAAAGGGCAGCTGTTGCTACCATTGGAAATGACTGTATTAAAAATGTTAAAGCCGGATGCGTGCTGGTGCATGCTTAAAATCCCAGCAGCTTGGGAGGCTAAGGCAGGAGGATCAAGAGTTCAAAGCCAGCCTCAGCAAAAGTGACTCAGTGAGACCCTGACTCTAAATACAAAATGGGGCTGGGGATGTGGCTTAGTGGTTGAGTGCCCCTGAGTTCAATCCTTGTTACCCGCCCCCCCCCCCCCAAATAAAGTTGTCTAATTTTCACCAAATGGGTTGAAAAATAGTTGTAAGACTGTTTTGTTTTGTTCTGAAAACATTAACTTGGTAACTGGTTTCATTATTTATTCAAACGCATTCCAAATATCTAAAATGAAAATTTCAGAAACCATTAACTTGGTAACTTGGCAACTTTTACCTCTAGAAATAACTTTTTTCTTAAATCCTTAAAATATTAAAGCCAAACTGAGAATTTTATTTTCAAATAGAAGTGATCAAATGCTTTGGGGAGAGTAAATCATGAGATGCTAGAATGATTTTCCCTGTTTTATACAGACTTACGAAATCACTATCACTGTCCTAATCTATTGTTCATTAGTCTTATTAAATATTTAACACTCTCAACATTCAATGTTTCCTCAAATGTTAAAACTTAGTGTTGGTCAGTCAGTAAGACATCTCAGTGACCTCCCTTATACAGACCAGTTAATTATATCCCTAAAAAGTATTCTGCCAAATAGTAGTCAAATATGTTAATAGAAAAACTGAAGAGGAATTGTAATTACTTTTAAAGGCTCATTAGCAGCATCAGGGTTGAAGATGGACCATTATCTGTTCTCTGACCCCTGTCCAGTAAGCATTGTTTTGGTCAATAATATATTTCCCACTGTCTTTTGTCTAGCTTATCAGTTGCTTTTCTGTGGTGTATATCTTGATATTTTGCTAAAGATTTCAATTTCCATGGATTTCCCCCCTTTATCTTACATATTACATACTCTTTGTTGAAAATAAAACCTGAGTGAAATATATTACCTTAGTTTTGTAGAGTACCAGTGTCTCACTTAGATACTTTATTTCAGTATAGGCACAGAATTACCTTATATGTAATAATTACTAAACTTTCTTTAATATGGATTTCTGGTTTTTTGTGATGGAGCTTTGAAAGTGACTTTAGATTTGTTGAAAACAAGTGTTGTACTTCATGGCATGTTGATATTTCGGTAATGTAAATACTGGCTATCAACTTGGATAGAATTAATATGAAAGGTTGAGTAATAAGAACAAATGGTATTTGCTAGTACACTGTCTAAAGATCTGATGTAGGGGAAATTATTGAAACAGTCCTAGAATCTTCACTGATTACTTATTTAAGAATGTTCAATTCTGAGAATGCTATTGGAAACAATCACATTGCCAGCATTTTTCCGAGGGATTAACAGAATTAGTATTGGGACAGCACTAACTAGCATGCCAAGAACTCTTCTCAGATAACATTTATGTAATCAACTAGTTAATTTTTAGGAAAATGTTTGGAATGAGGTACTAGCTTTACATTCTTAATGTCATTGAGAATAATATAAACATTTTACTTTAAAGGCTACATTACTATAAAAATGGAATTCATTCAGACGTGGTCTAAAATTTACTTGAGTTATTAAACTTTATCATATTTTTTGATACATTTCTTCTAGTATATGCATTATGACATTGTATTCAAGTGCCTAAGTTATCAGTACAGGAAGAAAATGTCCTTTATTTTGTATTTCCACAAGCCATATAAAATGTTTTAAGAACAAAGATTGTGAGAAGTAAATAGCATGAGCAAATATCTGGACTAAGGCAAGAAACAATGTAGCTGTACTAGCAGATGACTCCTAGGTCACTTAAGTGTTTAAGAACAGTGAAATTAGATTCCCTCTTGACCTTGTCACCAATTCCTTTACTGTTGTAATAGTACGCATGGGCATGTTAAGTACTTGGTGGTGGGAGGCTTAGCCCTGCCTTCTGCAGGCAGAGAACTGGTTAAGAACGGACTGCCCCAGTCATGTTTTCTCATGTGGAAGCAAGAAAGGGAAAAGGGAAAAGAAAGGTGGTGGGTGCTGGGGCAGGAATCTCATGAAAATGAAAAGAATAGTAGAATAGAAGAAAGTGACTGGAAGAGGGAAGGGAAGGGAAGGGAAATACTGGGGAATGATACTGACCAAATTGTATTGTTATATTGTATGCATGTATGAACACATAACAACAAATTCCACCATTATGTACAACTATAATGCAGTGATATTTGTGTGTGTGTTGATAACCATGTCTGGCCACATGGTTCTTTTTAGGCTGGATTGCCATTCAACTAAATAGAAATGTATAGTAGTTACCCATTCTGGTGTTGTTTTCCATGGTTTCAGTATTTAATTCAAATGTATTCCAAAAATCTTAAATGGGAAATTTCAGAAACCGTAAGTTTTAAGTAACTTTTATTATAGTAAAATGTATTTTACTAATTGTTAATCTTACTGTGTTTATAAGTTAAATGTTATTATAAGTATATACAGGAAAAAATAACATATATAGGGTTTGGCACTATTTGTTGTTTCAGGCATCCACTGAGACTGGGGGTCTTGGAACACATCCCCATCAAGGAAATCTAAATCAAAACCAAAGTGAGATGCCACTTCATAGTAAGATACTTACAATCAAAAAGAGAATAACAACTCTGGTTCAACAATTGTAATCCTATACTGCTATATACCCAACAATTGGGCAAGAGATACGTGTACAAAAAACACTGCTTACAATGGCAAAAATAATACAAAAGTGTTCTGGTTAAATTATTATGGCATATACAACTTGAAAAATAGTTATTGTCTGTTGACATGGGAAGATAATATACAATGCAGATGATCCTATATGTACTTAAATAGGCGTATGTTTTTATTTATGGATATTCAAAGAAATGGTCTGGACAGATAAACACTAGCTATTAAAATGGGTTTAGGGAGTTCAGGTATGGCAAATACAAGTTTTTACATTGCTGTATTGTGATTTCCACTTTAAAAATGAGCATATTTTTCTTTTTATTTGGCAGTACTGGGGGTTAGTTTCAGGGACGTTTTTACCACTGAGCTACATCCCCATCCTTTTTTATTTTGAGATAGGATCTTGCTAAATTGTCCAGGCTGCCCTTGAACTTGTGATCCTTCTGCCTTAGCCTCCTTAGTAGTTGGGATTACAGGTAAGTACCACTGCAACTACAAGAGCATGCATTATTTTTATAATAAGATATTAATAATAAAATGTATTAATAAGAATGAGGATGTAGAGAAATTAGAACCTATGTGTATTGCTGGTGGGAATGTAAAATAGTACTTTAGTTAATAGTATTAATTTTGGTAGTATTTCGGTAGATCCTCAAAAGGTATAACAGATCCCACATGAACATCTATCTACTAAAAAACATGTACGCAAATATTTGTTGCAGCAAGTAGAAGTAATCTGGAAGGCAAATAGAAGTAATCCAAATGTCTGTCAACTGACGAATGATAAATGTGGTATGCATGAAATGGAATATTCATAAAAATGAGTACTAATATATGCTACAACATGGGCACATCTTAAATGAAAAGAAGCCAATCATAAAAAACTGCATAATAATTTGATTCCAATTATATGAAAGGTACAGAGTAGACATTC